GACAGTGCAGGACAAACAGCAGTGCGATACAAGACAAGACAGTGCAGGACAAACAGCAGTGCGATACAAGACAAGACAGTGCAGGACAAACAGCAGTGCAATACAAGACAAGACAGTGCAGGACAAACAGCAGTGCGATACAAGACAAGACAGTGCAGGACAAACAGCAGTGCGATACAAGACAAGACAGTGCAGGACAAAAATGAGTATACAGATAAGTCATAAATTGACCTATGTGCAATGGGACCATGCTTTCACATCTACCCCTTCTGTGAAGTTAAGTGCCAATGAAAACTGAACATTTGTTTTGTAATTTAAAAAGCTGTTGATTGATTGGTGAGAGTGCAGTATGCTTATGGTACCATGCTGTCTGTGTTGCAGGAGTGTTTGGAGAAATTTGGAGAGAGTCTTCAGGAAATAGTCAACTACCACATGGTAAGGTCCTCCACGCCCATAGTCCTGCCAGATGCCCTCAGACAGTAGCCTAAGTAACATGGTCAGGCTTTGTTTTTCATCAGAGTCCTCTGTTTTGTCAGCATGGGGGTCTAGTAGACATGACATGGATATCCTTTCTCATGTACTGCTGCCGTAGCGCATGCTTGTTTTTCAATCAGGTCTCAGTGTAGAGCTACACGTGGGCTTTGACAGAGAGCTCCATTGTTGGGTTTTTGCAAGTCAGGATGCATTCGGCTAGGCAGGAAGGACAATGGAAGTGACAGCGGCATAGCGTTGAGCACGTTGAGCTCTCGCCCCAGGTTTCTAGCAGCCCGTGTGCACGGCCCTTTGTCCTCTTTAGCAGAGCTCCTTAATGGGGGAGCCAGCGGTAGAGGGGTGTCCGGGGCTGGCAGCTCAGTGAGGTTCCTGTACCCATCAGTGTGAGGTTCCTGTACCCATCAGTGTGAGGTTCCTGTACCATCAGTGTGAGGTTCCTGTACTCATCAGTGTGAGGTTCCTGTACCCATCAGTGTGAGGTTCCTGTACCCATCAGTGTGAGGTTCCTGTACCATCAGTGGCCACCTCACCATTCAAAAAGCAAGAGTCCCTCGGCCGCGTCTGAAAGGGCCGGCTCGCACATTTCTCATCCACTTCCTGCTCGAGGGGGAGCAATGATGGGAACCTCCCCTCCTTTTATTTATTCCTGCCTGGTTGTGTCACCGTTCGCTTGGTTTTCTGTTTTTGACTCGTAATTGGCGGTTGCTAAGGGAAGCGTCGTGAACTGGAATGAGCACCAGATGCTCTAATTTCAGGCTCAGCCAGGGAAGTAAATACTATATGGAGTGTTTTTTTCCCTCTAAGGTCAGCATTGCAATTATGTTGTGTTTCTACAGTAGTTGTTCTACTTTATTACAATTTCAAATGCTTAAAGGGTGTTTTACTTACTGCTCCCTGTCTCAATTACTAAGTGCAGTACATCCCTATATGTCTCAATTACAAACTGCTATGCAATTACATGGATCTCACTTAAAATGTGCTGTTCAGTGGCTTTATTGCTGAATCAGAGTTCTTTTACAGCACTGTCTTTTTACAGCATGCTGTCTGCTGACAGATGTTTATCAATATTTCAAGTTGATTAAAGGTTAAATGTTGTTCAGTGAGCAGACACATGAGCCTTCAATGGCTTTAAAACAATCTGCTTCTTACACCAACTTGACAGGCCTGAGTAAGACATAATGGACTTTTGTCTTCTATATGATATAAGGCATTTTATTTTTCAGTGCTCCTCAGGTGCCATCACTCAGTAAAGCCGTTTGGTGTGTATCGTACACGAGTGACTCTTTGGCTGTTGCATCGCCAGCCGAACTGTTAGGAAAGAAATGTCACATATGGTGACATGTGATGAGAGGTAATGGCTCACCAGGTCACCTGGGAGCAATCGAAGTCGATTGACCACTTCTCATCTATTTAAAATGGACTCTTGAAAGGGCTGAACATAAAGCACATGATCACCTGACCAAGTCCGCAGTCGGGATTGGTGCTGGTGGGACAGGGGGCAGTCACACGGTGAATAAAAACACTGGACATGGTGAAGATGCACTCCAGACTATTCTGCAGCAGCCCATGAGAGATGTACACAGATAAACAAACAGGCTCCAGTGCCACCTACCATCATAGGGCTCCAAACTTACTTTAACTTTAACTAAGTTAGTTACTACTCATTATAAATCATGAAGAAATATAGTAATTGTATGAAATACATAAACCATGATTGATTAATGATGAACAAACATGGGATCAGTGCGCAGCTAACACTTAATTTCTGTTTAATTAATACCTCACACTAAGTAAGAGTACTACTGCATTATTTGTGTCCCCAAAGTAAAGTGTTACCAGTGCATCTATGTGCATCATCATCTCTGGTAGCATAACCCTCCAAGCACATGCTGTTTCTCATGTCTATGTGCATCATTATGTCTTCTCCTAAGTCTCCTTCCTCATTCAAGCCTCTTGTCCTGAGTATCTATGTGCATCGTTATGTCTGGTACCATAGCCCTCCTAAGACAGTCTCCTTCCTCATTCAAGCCGCTTGTCGTGACTACCTATGTTCATCATTATGTCTGGTACCATAATCTACCTAAGATGGTCTCCTTCCTCATTCAAGCTTCCTCATGTGAGTCACTTAGTTCTCGTTTAATGACCAGTGTATATATCTACACTGGTAACTCTGGAACAAATGCATGTTAAAATGATGTTAACAATATTTTTTTTCCCCAATGTGATGCATTTTAGGATGGGGAAGAAAATCATGATTGTTATCAAAAAGACATTGCTGGGGGTTTATATATCAAACAGTCAGGCATACCTTGATATTTGTGGTTGACGAGTAGTCACATACAGTATGCAGTTGGGGAGCACTGAACCCATCATTTAGGAAACACAATTTCACCGTAATCCTGTAATTACGGTGGTAGATTCTGATGACGGGGGTATTGTAGGGGTGGGTGAAAGTTAGCCCAGTTTGTTGTACTCTTTGGGTTATATAAGGTTACATAAGCTGCCTACATACATAAGAGCTATACCTGTTTCCGTTGCTTATGTTATTGTATATTCCCTTTCTATTGTTGCTAGTTTCTCCATTATTAACATGACGGTTCTTTGAACAATAAAAAACCTTTCCATTGATACCATCAATGCATTTATTCTGAATAGGCATTTTTTCTCTTGCCAGGGAAAATCTTGGCACAGCTAACTATTCTGTGCTGCTTTGGAGGTGAGAGAAAATGGAATGGGACTATCCTGTTGATCCTTGGACACACCGTGGTTGTGTGAAACATTCGGATTGACCTGCCAAGGTGGCGACAAAGGGTTAGGATTAGCACTGCTGCTGCGACCTGCTTGACATCATTACCGTAATTGTCTGTCTGGCACAGTGGGTCAGATTAAGCCACGCCAGGGCTGTGACACACTGCTCGGCCACAGAGGGCATATGGAAATGCCATTGTGAAGTTGCATTCTGGGTAAGCGCCTGGGTCACAGGACTTACAGAAGATCTGCGGGTGTTATTACAGCACTTTGATGAAACACTGTAAGGGTTACAGATCCGCACATTCATCAGTATGCAGTTTTGGAAAAGCTTTTGTGGTGCAAATCTTGAGTTTCACGGGCACCGTTGCCGTTACCTCATTGGGATCCTCTTTCTTCCAAGCCTGGTGTTATTGACATTTTAATTAAAAGACAGCGGCATTTTGTAATTTCATCATGGCGATTTCATGGAGATGCCTTTGTTTTTAGGAGGAGGAGGAATTTGGCGTTGGATCTGACATGGGTGTTGCGTAAATGAGTTGCTGAGGAAACACCACGAAGGATTATGTTATGCTGATCCGGCGGTAGGGGATTAGTACTTTTATTAGCCTGGCATGCTGGTCGCTTCAGTGAGGCAGCGCCGCAACCTTATGGGCAGTGCCCACTACGATACCTGTTTCCCAGGCTCCCCAGAGATGGAATGTCAGAGATGAAGTGAAAAATGTGACAACATTTTTGTTGATTTGATATATATTGAGGTTTGATATTCAGTCTGTCAGACATAGGCCTTGTTAGAGGAGTTTAAAGCACAAGGTTTATCCTTATGGTGGGAAGCACTGCTTTTAATTGATTCATTTTTGGTGTGTTTTTTTTTTGAGGTTTTTTGACAGACTGTATCGTGGGTGGGAAGAGATGATTCAACATTGTCCCCAATGTACAGAACAGGAAGTGGGCAGAACTATTTCAGTTCTGGAAAGCTTTGCCAAATGGCAGCACATCCACACGCAAGATTTAGGCGTCTGTGGGTGGGATCGGATGAATAACGTGTAATGGCATGGGCGCCGTGGGTAGACTGGTCGCATCACGGAAGGGCGGTGCATTGCTTGTTTTCCGGATTGGTGAGTGTTTGTGTGAACAAATGCATTTATGTGCGATAGGTGGTGGGAGGGCAGCAAGGTGGTGCGATGGTTAGCACGTCACACCGACAGAGACCAGGGTTCGATTCCACTGGAGCTGCCGATCTGTAGATGTAAATGGTGTGTGTGTTTTATAATTTCATCACTGAGGTGCCACAGGTTGGCGCTTCCTTACCCATCCTGGGTTATTCCCCGCCTTGAATCAGGGTCAAGCTCCTGCAAGGGTGAACTGCTGACTTCACAGCAGGAGAGACGCACCGAGGGCGTCCATCCGGGGGCCTAAAAGGGCAGCATGCCGATTGGGTAGGATATGGTAACCAATAACCCGCAGCTCCCCACACGGACACGCCCGGGGGGGGGGTGCTTTATGGGACTGGCCTGCTGCATTTTATGGTCCCACGCATTCCTCTCCAAACTGAACAGCCACTTACCAGCCAGCCACACAAGTTTATTTTAGGAAACGACAAGAGATAGGAATAAAAAAAATTAAAAAAACAGGATTGCAGGATTTATTGTTCTCACTTTGTTAGATGGATCAGAGCCCATGTGTGGCTCTGTGGGTTAGGAGTCTTTGCTCGTGTCTGGAAGGTTGTTGGTTTGAATCTCATGGCCTGTAAAGTACTGATATCATTGTTGGGCACTTTGAGCAAAGCCTCAAATCCCAGCCGTGCTGGGAAAACATCTGACCTTAAGTTGGGGTGTTGCGATATCTGAATTCCTACGTGCTTGTAATTTGTGCAAATAGAAAATCACTGTCATTAAGAACAAGGACAAACACAGGAGGAACATGCCGGTTTACGCATGACCAGCTGTGTGCTGGTCTGCTTCTGTACTTTATCAGATTTATGAATTATCCCGTCTGGTCAAATTGTACAAATGCCAGCGTCACATGACATGCCACTGATAGTTTTTTAGTTCATGCTTTTTAAGCCACATAGAAAACATCAATAGCAGTTTCTGCGATCCTGTGTTCGTTAGAGATTCGGAGTCCTGGAGAGGCCGAGGAGGGGAGAATGAAGCAGGAAATTCTTTGTGCTGGTGGCAGATTACGGATTAACGGCAGTGAGGAGGGTGGGGCACATTGCCAGAGCAGAAAGACGGGAGTGACCGACGTAAGCTGGAGCGACGTCGCCAAGTTCTTATGTAATAAAACATGTTACTGAATACTATTTACCCACAATTCCCGGATTATCCTTTGGCGGGAGAATGTGAACACACAAAGCATTGAGGAGTGTAGGTGGAGCTGATGAGTCACTGGTTTCTTTGCAAGGATCGAGCAGCTCGGAGCAGAAGGCTGCCAACAGAGAATAATGAGGGTTTAGTTTAGTTCGCTGAATGGCACGTTAGAGCCAGGGAGGTACAGGCAACGGTCATGGCTGGCTAGGGGGCAACTGCGTCAACCTTAATGAAATGAAATTAAATGAAAATGAAATTATACACGTATTAGGCTTTTCAACAAGGATTCAATATTCCTGCCACAGTGTCCTCATTTAGTTCTTTATCTTTGTCACCAGCATTTATTTCATTTATTTCAGCAAGGGAAACAGCACATTTCGGTTATTTACATTTGTAGGCAGATAGGGGGCGCTCTTTCCTGTTGGCTGACAGATCCTTTTCTGAGTGAATGAGGGATAGGTCATCAGAGGCATTTAAGCAGTTTCACAATATTTGTATCATTTGCAGAATCTGTCCCTATTCTGTATTCTACATAAGTAGCACACACAGCCTTTTTAAATGTATTGCCACAAATGTTCAGCTTCATATGTATATCTGTTTATTTAAGAAGAATGCAACATTTCAGTCTAAAGTTATGTTCCAGTAGAACTGTACCTGTTGTGTTGCATTCCTAAAATTCCTGTTCTGTTGATCACTCTTGCTGGGCACTGACTTTGCTCTTTGATCTGATCACACACCTGACATAACTCAGCCACATGTGTCATGCGTATCGTATTTCCTGGGAAACCGTGAAATAAATCGGCCCACTTTGTAAGTGGCACACACTGAGCACATGAGGCTACATGCCAATGCAGAATCCATGGTCCTAGACGTCACTTCCTCCTCCTTCCCCCTGCCCCAGGAATGCCATAGACTGTGGAATCCCCCCCCCCCCCACAAATGCTGGTAATCTCTCAGAACTTTCCACAGCAGTTTGCGTTTTGCGTCTGCTATATGGGGAAAGACAAACTTTTACAGAATCACAAGCAATTAAGGAAGTTACATCCATGACAATTGTCATCCTTTGCATACTCACCTTAAAGACCAGGACTCCATTTCTACATGGGCACAGTCCCGGTATGGCGCTAGTATGTAGCTAAGCAGCTTAAGAAGCTGTAGCTGTTCTCAGATGGTTGCTGGATCAAATCCCTGGGTTGCTAAAGTGATTTCACCATTGTGCCCCTAAGCAAAGCTGAACTGCTCCTAGGATTATCTGACCCTGCTTTCTCAACTGTGCGTCACTTTGTATGAAAGCATCTGCTAAGGAATTTAAATGTGGGAACGAAATACTCCCCCCCCCCCCCAACCATCTAGCAGTGTGGTTTGCTGTCCACTTTCCATTTGTGTCCTGCGCCTCAAGTCTGCTAGACCTCTAGCGTGTTGTCTGGTGGATTATTAAATCAGTCCCGCCAGACAGTTGGCCACAGAGAAGGAGAGCCCGCTGCTGCTCGTGGCGTGCCAGCATCTTGAGATTTACATCGACAGAGGGCACTTAGTAGGCGCTCAAGTCATGCAGGTTCACTCTGCCAGCAAGCCGCACGATGCCAGACATGCTGCGTTAACGGTGTCGTCTCACGCTCGTCTTTGGGTCTGTTGTGTCTCCCAGTGCTAAATTCTGCGTCACGGTATGGACAAAGGCTGGCAGTCCTTGTGAAAATGTGCGACACCGTGCTCTGCCCTGTTCTTTACCCACGGGCAAGTTGTGAAACACCTTGGAGTTTCGACGCTTTTTTTTTTTTTTTTAGTTTCATTTTCGTTATTTCGGTCGTCACACAGGCCACACCAGTGGAATCAGGGCCAAAGGAGCGATCGAAACAGCAAATTTAGCGTCATCTCAGGCGTTTGGGTTTCTGTGCGTTACCTGCTGTTCACTTGCCAGGTCACTGATGCCAGTCACTTGAAAAACTGTATGTTTGTTGGGCCACTGATTTCAGGGCCAGATGAAATTTCAATTGCCGTATGTACTTTCACAGCGCAAATACATTAAAACAAACAACAGCATGACTTCATCATGGTCTCCTCTTACTCGAGTAACTGCATTAACTGGTTCTCTGCTTCTGAGCAGAATCGTTGAGATGATTGAGCAGCTTATATGGAAATAAAGACTTCTTCCGTTAGATTTATGACAGGGATACTATGCTGTAGGTTTGTGAGTGATGTGTTCACATGGGCTCTGGATTGTAATTGTAATTGTATTAAAGCTTGACACCAAAACTGGAGAGGATTTAAGCTGTTTAAGGAGTCTCGATAAATCAGCCCTGATATCCTAATTCAGACACACAAGGGAGGCCCATGAAAATAACTCCAGGCTCCTGCCTGTTTGGGGCTGCCAAGACTGGGGTGACAATAAATGTGAGGGAGCCGTCCAATCACAGATGAGTATCTTAGGGGCCGGGGTAGTGCGCACACAGAGGTTGTCAGTCTGATCACAGTGTCCCTACAGCCTCTTTCCTGTACAAATGACCCTTTTTCTTGTACCTGCAATGAGGGGGAGGCAGTCACAGTGACACTCCTTATGGGGATGGGGGCTGGTGGATGTGCATGTGCTCCACCAGGCTGAACCCATTCTTCACTTGGCATAAATGAAAAGTTGGAATGAGCGCCCTCTGCTGGTTGATAAGTTCTATTACTGGAGGAGAGATGACTCACAGAATCTAATTAAATACCAAGTTGAGTTGTTTGCGCTACCCACTGATCACATGTCTGAGCCACTGTTTATCTGGTGTCAGTGACTTAATACAAATTCCTACTTTCCCATATGAGTTCAACCTTGTTTTGGAATTAAAATGTTAAGCGTTTTATGTGCATAAAGTTCATCGTTACTACTTAAATTACTAACATTAGCATCATGCTACTTCAGGGCATCAAGCATTAGAATCGGGTTGATGTTTTTTGTTTAAGTCATTATTTCCAAATGCTGCCTCATTTATCATTTCGCCACACAATCCACATGTTGTAATGCGACAGCCCTATTGTACTTTTTCATGCTTTTGCAGATCCTGTTCGACCAGGCCCAGAGGTCTGTCAGGCAGCAGCTACACAACTTCGTCAAAGAGTAAGTAAAGTCAGCACTCTCCCTCCTATTTGTCATATCTATGACTGGTTCATCCGCTGTCACATTATTTTCCCATATTATATACTTTTCTAAGGAATGTGTGACTAATACAGACATGTACTCTGCTGAGTTAGTACCAAAAGAAGATGAGAGGTCACTGGTTTAACACCAGGCATGACTATGCCTGTCCACTTGTGGCACTTCAGAACAAGTCGCTCCAAACCAAGTGACGCAGCTCTACATCCTGTAATCTTTTCACAAGATCAAACGCACACAAAGTCAGACGGCTTTAGCTTTGCGGTTCTCTGGAACAGTCAGGAGATTTTTTGCATGATTATGTGCTGAAAGAAAAAAAAAGCATCTGTACTCTTTCTTAAGCACAAGAATTAAATTGTTGATTTGGAGTTAATCTCCTCAGTCCCAGCCAGCAATCACCTACAAGACAGAACATGATTAAGTAAAATGTGATGAGTAGGTAACGCCAAAGTGAATGTCCTTCTCTGAAACAGAGTACAATGAGGAGATGCATAATTAGGCATCATGAAGTATTTGTGAAGTATTTACCTCCAAGAGAAAAATTCAATCATTTTAAAATGTTTATTTTTTTTGGTAACGTATGTACAAGTGTAGACCCAAAGATGCTGGACTCTCATTCTGTACTAGGTATTTGGTTTCTCTGTTGTTCATGGTTTTACTGAGTTTTGCTGACCTGATGAATTGGCCCTAGTCTACACTTTCAGTTTCCACCATTTTTCTGTCCTCCTGTCTTGCAGATGTTGTATGTTAGAATACTGTAGAATAAGCAGAGTCCAGACTAAAAGTTTTGGCAGCCTGAGTTCTGGGTTGGCTGATATTTTCTTCGAATGGTCTGGGAAGGCTTTCAGTTTAGCTGCATGTGTGGGGGGGGGGGGGTGTGTTCACACTTAGCTGGACTGTCTTGTGTTCACAGTGGATGTTTCAGGAAGGCAGGAAGGTATCTCTGTGTATAATGGCCCCGATCCTATTGAAATTTTAGCACAGTACCACTGTTGGTTTAAGCAGACATGCCAGAGGAATCATTTTGGAATCTTGCTTAGCAATTCACATTGCGTGATGAAAAGGCACTTCAGTGAGCTCATGTGTCTGAAGAAACATGGGTCAGTCTGAGGTGGATGGACAATATTTTTAGGGTTTGATATACACAAGTACCTCCAGTTCAGTAAGTCCTGGACCTTCTGTCAAACTATTTCACAATGAAAAAGTGCTTGATTGGGGTAGTGCAGTGGTTAGCACTGTTCCCTTGCCCCTCTAGGACCAGGGTTTGAGTCTCCACCATGGCTCTATGTGTGTAGTTTGCAGGGTCTCCTTGTGTTGTCATGGTATTTCATCCTGGTACTCTGGTATCCCCCCCCCCCCCCACCACAATCCAAAAATGTACAGAGGTAATTTGGAATTATCAAGCTGTGACTGTGCTCTGCAATAAGTCAGTGTCCGGTCCTGTAGGCTCTGGGCCCCCCTGAATAGGCTAAGTGGCAATGGATGGAAATTCTTGACTGGTTATTTCTGTTAAGACAAGCTGTTATCTAAATGACAGGTATAAAATAAGAATGGCCCTTTTTCAGTTCTCTTTGGGTTATTTTGCCGAATAATGATGCCGGCATTCATCCTCAAATACAGTCAGAGATGTGACTAACACCCGCTAATCCCTTCTGGCACTCAGGGATGTGCGCAGGTTCAAGGAGACCAAGAAGCAGTTTGACAGGGTGCGTGAGGACATGGAGATGGCCCAGGTGAAGAATGCCCAGGCGCCGCGGAACAAGCCCCACGAGGTGGAGGAGGCCACGGGCACACTCACCATTACCCGGAAGTGCTTCCGGCACCTGGCACTGGACTACGTGCTGCAGGTGACACACGCACGCACACACACACACACACACGCACACGCAAGTCTATCCTGCCATTGTAATAGACACATAACATGTCAACACCAGGATCTGTGTTGAAATGTTATTACAAAATTTATGATAAGGGGGTAATTTGCTTGTCACCACAGCCTAAAATAAAATAGCAATAGAAAAAACAGACCAAAACATACAATAACAAAATCGAAAAAATAAAGAAAAATTATGAAAAATCTGTGCGCACAATTAGCCATATTGCACATATGACATGGGATGCATTTTGAATTTTTCCTTCAAAGGTATAAGATTTCAGTGCCAAAGTTACATTTGCCAGTTTTCAGTTAAACAACATTTAAAGTTTATCTCTGCTTAAGTTTTTTTCTTTTACATTTCTGAACTCCTGTTTAGTCAAACTGTAATTTATGACACATTTGTCCAGTATAGTGGTTCATGAACAGAAGGCTGGTATGCAGGAATCAATACCGTGTAGCATAAAATTATCCTTTTGGTCTCAGGAATAAGATGTTCAGGAGACTAATTTTTATATCAGTCAGCAGATAAATGATCGCATCACATGAAGCCCCTCCCCTATTTCCAAGGAAATAGTTTCCTTTGCTGGCTTAAGGGGAGTCCAGTCACATTTGAAATATTTCTGTGGGCGTCAGGCTTCATAGATCGCCTGTTCAAAGGCGAGGCTTCCCTCTCTCAGCCCTCTGAACGACGGTTGTAACTCTTCATCTTTTTCAGTCAGTGACACGCCAGAGCAGTCTCAGTGACCTTTAAATGAAAAGAAAAGACACTGGACAAAGCCATTCCGTAATGTTTCTCTTGGGGAAGAACCACAAACCGTAGAAGATCTGTTTGTGTGATTCGGCAAAGTGTTATAGCAGTTGGGCTAAGCTATCAAGGCTGTATTTTGAAGCCAGCACTAATAGAAAGGATGTATTTACTGCACCGTAGAATAGATCTGCCTGGAATGTCGTGCTAGGCCACAAGATGGCGACAGCTTGTAGATTTTTTTTTTCCGTGGTTTAGAGTTCCTGCTCCCATAGAGAGTGGGGCTAACCTGCTTCATTTCCATGGAGACATTGACTCCTTTGGAGAGAGATCAGCTGGTACAGTGTGATTATTTCGTTCCAGGGGATCATACACCATGCCTGCTCGTAGCCAACGTAAACATGGCTATAATAAGGCCTCCTTGTTTTTAAACGCCTGCGTATCGAGGCGGAAAAGGTCACCCTCCTCAGCAATTCATATGCCTGACATCTCCAATGTAGCCCTCGATGTTTTGTTTCTGCTCTCCATTTCGGGATCGTTTGATTGTCTTGGCAGCAATCCTCAAGTGTGCTATTTTTCCATGGTTCTCTTCAAGCTGTAGTACACACTTAAGTACTACACATTGCCTAAGCTGTTTTCATTCATGCATTGTGTTTGTAACTACAGAGTGTGACAGATTAACATATTTGGTTCTGCGATAGGTTGAACACATTGCTGCATAAAGTGTATGTGTAGGTAAATTTCTTTTCACCGAAGAACTGCAAATCAAGTCCTCTGACAAATTATATGACAATAATACAACATTTAATGAATCCATTACCCTTCTTTAACCTGCGTCAGACTAGCAAACGTAATAGATGATGACTGTGGACAGTAAACACCATGAGGCCATTGCAGGGATCACATGCAATCATGCAAGTTCTACAGTGACTCCTTTGTGCTTGCATGACTCTAGATGTAACTGCACAGACTTATCAAATATTGGGCTGCATTATTGGTAATGTCCTGTAGATGGCAGAATTTTAAAGCTTTGCTTTAAATCTGTAATATTTGTGTGCTAACACAAGGGTCACCTACCTATGTGGGGGATTTTTTGAAATCCTGCAATCATGGATTTAAAATGTTTTCAGAACAGACATAAAGCCTGTTTCAGTATCCAGTTATACTCAGTTATATGCTTTGTATTCATTTGAATCTCAACAGGATCATTAACCTTTAAATCTTTTTTACATTTCAGATCAATGTTCTTCAGGCAAAGAAGAAGTTTGAAATCTTAGATTCGGTAAGAAGCTTTGAGAACTGAACCTTTTTTCTCGTTGGCCCCTGAGGTTTCGCCGTTGCTCCTGTTGTAAGAGGACCTCCTCTGCCTCTTCCTCCAGATGCTGTCCTTCATGCATGCCCAGCACACGCTCTTCCAGCAGGGATACAACCTCCTGGATGAGATCAATCCCTACATGAAGAGACTGGCGGCAGAGGTGGGACCCCGACAGAGCGATGGACGCCCCCATCCATCAATGCCCTGCAGTGATTACACCCTCAATCTGTCTGCCGTCTGCTAACTTTTCACAGCCTTCATTAAGTTAGGCAGCTGCTTTCCCTGTGGGTGCAACCGCTAAGCCTCTTGCAATGATTTGAATCATGACCACTACAGCTTGCAGACACTCCAGTCTTATCACAAAGCTAACCTACCCGCTTGCAGCTATATAGTGTAGTTTACCACAAAGCTGGGTGTATCAGTAATGTCGTTGAAGTTGTTTTATCAACAGGATGACATTTAAAGCCCTTTTCGGGAAATGAATCAGAAAAGGCATTTTTTCAACCACTATTCCTACTGCTGCCCATGATCTTATATATATAATCTCTATCATTATCATCAATTAAAACAGCTTACATGGACACTGTCACCTTGCTTCATTTGTGGTCAGATAATAGATTTCTGGCCTCGTGATGGAAGCTGGGAGAGGGGGATTATGGACAACATGATTGCCTGGTCAGATCACCATGGCAGGAGTTTGTTTGCCAAAATGAGATTTTGAGACGGGCACTTAGAAAGGCAGCACTGAGCTGAATATACTGTGAATAAGTGCATCAGGCCCCGGTCCCAGAAACTGTCATAATTCTGCAATGAATATGCAGCTTATTCACTCAGGATTGTTCAGCTGAGTTGACTCCTTGGGGGGGCAGATTCAAGCTCACATTTGGGGAAGAACTGAACGTAGGTCACATTCTGAATCAGCCAACTCCTGCTCTAAGCAAAGCTAAAGAACAAGACAGGCATTGGCTGATTGCCGGCTCTGTCGCCAAGGCAACAGTGGAACAACTTGTTCAGGACAGCTCCCCACTTTTTAATTAGCGTATCGACACAGCTTTACCGATTGATTAAAATGACTTTGCCCTCAAGGACGGCGCCTGTGATTTCTCCCGATTGAATGCATTGTGTCTGAATTGCTTAATTTATTTTTTTTTGTCACATATCCTGTGAGCAAAATATGAATCAATTAGCAAGGCGCTCTAAGCCAACATGTCATGTTGAGCTAACACAAAGACAGCCATGGTTCCCATTGCTGAAGTTCCCTGGTAGTATATATACATTTAGATGCACTGTTCATGAATTGTGAGTGCAACCCCCCCCCCCCCCGAAAACAATTTACAGTCGTCTAATGAATCTTGTAAGAGTTTGATCTCATGCTAAGTGGATGGTGTGTTGTTCAGTGGGTTCGGCCTTTGTGCCTGTGATTGGAAGGTCGTTAGTTCAAATCCCGTCCTCAGAAGGCTGCCAGTTTGAATCCCATCCACAGCAGAATAGCAACATTGCGCTCTTGATATCTGGCCTGACCCTGTGCTGAGAGCCCAAGCTTCACTTTCATCTGTAGGTATGTGTGTGTGTCTCTCAAAGGAGTAAGAGTAGATATGTGAAATGCAGCATTCCAATGTACCTGCACATGTTACTGCTGTCCAAATAGCTAAGAGGGTGACCTGACTGGGCATTGTGCTCTGCAGCCTCGTCAGTGTCAATCTTGCTACCCATTAATAATACTTAGGATTGGGACTGCTTGTGTGTGTGTGTGTGTGTGTGTGTGTGTGTGTGGTTCTGCCCGGGCTGACCTATCCCTGCCGTTTGTGCTCTTCTCCTGCAGCTGGATCAGCTGGTGATCGACTCGGCCATAGAGAAGAGGGACATGGAGCATAAGCACGCCACCATTCAGCAGCGGGTAGGAGCTCTCGCCTTCTCTCTTCCCTTCCCTCCCTTTTCTTCTTCTTCTCCTCCCTCTCCGCCTGGCTCGTGACTGACATCCAGGCCGCCTGCAGGGCGTCTGACTCATCTTTATTAATCTGGAAAAAGGGGGAAGCGTTTCATTTAAAAGACAAGTGACTGGCTTAAGTATCTAATGACGTAGAATTAAGAGCCTTAAGGTGCTAATCCTGGGGGCGTCTGTCGCAAACGACAGCTCTCTGTCAGCGGCACTGATTTCCAGAGTTTTGATCCTTTTATCAATAAGCTTTAGCTGCAGTTTGCGAAGTGAGCTTCTGTCTCTGTTCTGACCCGGTTCTATATTACCTTATGACTATCATTCTCTATCAGAGGTTCTAGGCGCAGGAAACGTGGGTAAAACCCACCATCTGTGTGTAACCCCCTCCCCCATACAAAATGTGCACAGAAAAGTGGCAAAATTGCCAAGTAGTAAGTTGGAAATAAAAAGACAAAGATACAATCATTCTGCATAACGTGTTACAGCAATGCAATAAACACTTGTGTAGAAGTACAACTGAACTCTGGAATGCAATTAGAAAAACAATGTTATGCTACCATCAGATATGAAGTGCTAAGCAGACATGGCATTGACCTCAAAGCAACCAGTACTGTTATAATCCCTGGGAAAGCTGTGCATCTCAGCTGTCAGTATCACTATTGCATTAAATGAAATTGCCGAGCAAACAAGGCCAAAAAGCAAACATAGCAGCATTCAGGCTGGCAGTAGGATAGATAAAGATATCAGCCAATAACTTAGTGTTTTAGTCATTTAGTGTAAACACTGCATGTATTTCAGTCATTTTTTAGGGACTTTGTGAGAATGGCTCATTTTAATATACATACTTGGGTACTCCACTAATGTATGTTGAATTCTCATTAAATTATACCTGCATTTTAAAGATACATTAACAAATACTGCAGTCTGAACTGGTGGTTCTTAAATTTACAGAAAGATTCAGAGGATTCGAAAGTGCATATCGGGACAAATGCCAGGTATATAATAATAGCTCAATAAAACTTCAGTACTTCACTGTCGCCAATGACATGCACTCCGAGAGACAGACGTGCTATTTTTCAGTAACTTATTTTTAGAGTAAATGATAAAAAGGGTAGGTTTGCCTCGCTTGCCGCTGTCCATTAATGCTGAGACAGGCAGGACACAGTTTAGTCTCTTCTGAAGCGATGAAATGGCTGATCGGTTTAGAGCTTTCAGATGGTTGGCAAAAATGTATTTCTGTCACCACTTTCAACAGCTGGAGTGACTGTTGGCTTTGTGCATAAAAAAAATGAAAAGTGCATTTGGAAGGGTTGCGTAATCATGGAGAGGTTTTTATATTTGTGTTGTCAAAGGAGCTAAGTATTTGTCTACAGACATGTGATCTCATGAGGTTTCAGAATGGTACTACTGATGATGAGTGTCCGGTAAGTTTAACATTAGAAGACTCATTTATAAGCAGAATTGTGTGTTGTGGGTTCTAGTTTATCTAAAGCTATTGGATACCCATTACATTGCAAGAAATCAGTGTATATGCATGTCCTAAGACATTGTGGTGGATGGAGCCTAAGGTTCTTGTTGAACAATAGATAAATTCATATGAACTGGAAAGCAGAATCAGGACCTGGCTGAGATGCAGTCTTTGGCTGAATGGAATGCAATACCACCAGCTCTCTAAAGTAAATGAGTATAAAAGCTGTAAACCGTCATGAAGTTAAGGTGACCAAGCACGCCTTCAGCCTTTGGAAATGGAGTTGTTTGTCCTAAAAAAGCACTTTTTGTCCCGTGGCTTTTGGTAGGACACGTCGTGTTCCTATGTCTGTGTGTGCGGCAGCGAGAGAGGATGCGTCCCCTGCCTTAAATAAAGCCCCCCTGAATCCGTGCCAGCGTCTCCCGTCACACTAATCTAACATCCCGATGCTGTGGGACCCAAATCGTCCAGACAGGCCCATCTCCATATGAATGAGCAAAGGCTCTGCACCCCCCGAACGGTAGTTTCATGCACGCCAATCCCCCCCCCCCCCACTCTCCATCACCACCACCACCATCCACAAGGCCAACACGCCACAAACACGCACACGCTCTCACATTCATTTAACCGGGCTCAGCGGCCATCTGTACGGGCAGCCCCCACCGATTCCCTGGAGCCAGAGACACGCTGCAGCAGCAGCATCCGTGACTGGGGGCATCCGTAACAGCCTTCTGCCGTCTGGCCCCTCGGTGGCGCTGGGGCTTATGAGCCAGACTTACGGAAACGACCCGTGTGCCAGTGAAACAGCTAATCAGTTTTCTTTTGTCCTGAATAAAAATCATGCAATCTATTGTTCAAAAGTCTCGTACATTAATAGTTATGGTAACTGCATGCAACCTTCATATATAAATAAATGTTAATATATTTGTATTATAATCATTATATGTAAGTGTGTGTAAAGTTATGTTGGTAGTCAAATGTTTGGATGGTGCTTTGTTCTGCAAAAATCATTGATGTTGCTCCTCTGTTTCTTCCATCCCTTTCGTCACGCTGTGCCGTTCTACGCTGATCTCCCTCCAGACTCTGATGGAGGTAAGGAAATTCTTCTTGGGTGTAAATACCGTAACACGCCGGATGGCTTCCTGGCACGTCTGCTCCTGCTGTTTCCTATAAATTAACCATATGACAGTTCTGCCTAAATTTGGCTCAGTGGCAAGACACGATTAGCCAGACGCTGCTGAATTACCAGTCGTGGTGGTTTGGCGATGACCAGCAACCAAATCAAACCTATACAAAGGCTGAGGACCATTAATGAAACATGACCCACATCCAATGCTACTTTGACGTTCAGGATTCACTCATGTCTGGATCCAGCTGTTAAAGACATTTGTCCTGGTGTTAAAGCCTCAACAGTCAAAAAAATCAAGCTGTGTATTTAAATGTCAGTTTAATGGGGACACTGATAAGTGGCAGTGACACCTGGCAGATGCGTGTGCTCCAAATGAACACTGTTTAAAGCCACACATAATTTATTATCAGCTGAATGCTTTAGTCATGAAATTTCAATACAATTCAACACAATTCTCCAGTATCATTATATATAGATATGGTACTATTAAGATAATTCATACAAACCCTTTACAATGGTTGCTGGCTTTTGCTTCAAAAAAGGATGTTGGTGGACATCTGCGGAGATTTATGTAAGACTGGCGCAATTAAAGTGCAATCGAATTTGAAACAGTGCCAGCGGAGAATAAAAAATAGCTGCCACTAAAATGCAGCTGAGTTAGGTGATGGATGAAGAGAAAACCCAAAAGCTACTGGCTCTGCTGTGTGTGTGTCAGCCCCTCCCCCCAGCCCATCTCCTTTGTGTACAATGTGGGTCCAAGGTCCAAGGTACAGGGTCTCTCTACACTGGGAAAAGTTTTTGTGCCCATGATTGGAAGGTTGCTGGTTCAAATCCCAGGGTCAGCAGAGCATTGTCATCCTTGGGCCCCGTAATCCCCAATTATTCCAGGAGCTGGGTGACCCGCTTTCTCAGTTGTGTGTTGTTTTAGATAAAAGTGTCTGTTAAATAAATTATAAAAAAAAAAAACAGGTTGGATTTCAGTATGTACAGTGATGCAGAAACAACATGTACAGCAATGGTGGATGTTGTACATTAGTATAGCCTGTAGACTTTGTACATTGGCAGAATGGTAGATGTTGTACATGAGTATAGCCTGTAGATGACTTTGTACATTGGCAGAATGGTAGATGTTGTACATGAGTATAGCCTGTAGATGGCTTTGTACATTGGCAGAATGGAGGATTTGTTGTTCTCTTAAGGCAAGGAAATTTGCCATCTGTAGACACATATATGTTCGTTGGGCACACTGTGCACTAACTGGAGCATCAGCAGTTTGGGCACCTCTTAGCTACTTTAGAGACAGTGACATCATGCCTTGGCAACCGTCTGCAACAATGGAATAGTCAGGATACTGAAAGCTTCGTCTGAGTCACCGTCTGGCCTTGTCCTAAGCCCTGAAGATACCATATGAAGCACCCTAGGGTGCATCAGCAAAGGTGATTAAGAAAGAAAAACAAATTTCTATAAGACACAGCCCCTCTACCTCTTATTTTAGGCTCTACGCTAAGAGTCTTGTGTTTAGATAATAAATTTGGTGGTTTGGATGAAAGTGTTTGTGGATTCATCCTGGTCCCCCATTGTGCCCTTTCAATGTGCCATTGTAGCACTCAGTTGGGTCGCAGTTACGCGGTTGTTACCATAGTAAAAGTAGCTGAGAAAGGACCTTGCGTCTCTGTGCATTGATTTCTCAATAACCCTGTGGTTTTGTCGGAACCAAAATGCTTTGTAGTAGCCAGTGTTATTTTCAATTTTCATTTGAAATCCAGTTTAGTTTTAGTTAGTTTCAGTGTGGTTTTGTTAGGTTTTTTAGTTTTTATTTTAAATATGGTTTCTATTTAGTATTTATACTGTATATTTTAGTTTCAGTTTTAGTTCAAGGTTCAAGTTATTTTATTTCTAGGGATAGACTGAAAGTTGTAGAGATTTTTTATGTGCTTGATCTTCAAAGAACCCTACCTAAATTATTACTTTTAGTCATGGGTGTCACCTCCATTAAATCTGAGGGGGACGTGTAGTTTTCGTTTTAGGTTTTGTTAACAATAATAACCCTGGTGGTAGCAGCTCCATATTTTTACAAACTGACCTGTGAATAGTTGAATTGGCGAGCAGGCAAGTCTAAGGCCAAGTCAGCAGGGTGGGAGAGCAGGCATGTCTTTGGACGGCTGTGTTTTGCACATTGGGTCCTTCTCTTTCGTAGTGCTAGAACTGAAGGGAAGCTCTGTTATCTTTTCTTCTATTCATGACGGCCTCCTAACATCCTTGGCTTTTAAATTGTCAGTCCACTTCCCTTTCAGCAAAGTAAGCCTGCCGCTGACACATCATCTCAACTTCGATAAAAACGTGATTCTCACCCGACTCATTTAAGTAGAACTGCTGTTTCTTGTCTCCCTGGTGACCACTGCGGTATTTTTAGGAGAGAAAAAAATCAGCCGTAGATTGTTTTTTTTTCCCTCTGGTGTATTGCTTATTCAGTAAGGACTCTTTCTTTCTTGACTGAGACTGCAAATTTCACACTGAACACTTATCCAGCCAGGGCATCAGTTCAGTGAATGTTACACTTGGGAACACAGCCCTTGCGTATGTTTGCAGGATCATGTGACCAGCATTTACAGCATTCATAGCTCCCAGAAGTGAACTAAGATCAGGAGGCGAGACACAGTGAAGGTATCAGCTGCCAGTGTTTGGCCTCAGCTTTCACTCTAACTCAGCCCCCAATGTCTCCATGTATTTGACCTGTTTCCTCACAAGTCGCGGTGACAAGGGACCCTGGTGTAAACATACAAGTGAAGGGACACTTCACAGCCTTGCCTGGGGAATAGGGTGGCCTCGTCGAGGTCATGGCCGGAACATGTGTGCCCTCGCCATCGGGGACATAGCAGCTCATCTATTTTTCAGTCGCCTTTTAATGGAGGAGCTCTGCCAGTGTTGCTGGGCGGCGGGGGGCGGGGGAGTTCACTGTTTCCCTGTCTCAGCGACTCAGCATCACGGCGGGAAAAATAAAGGCTGCTTCTGCCACTGGATCCAGCTTTTTAAAGCGCGGTAAAGGACAGGCGGCATGTGACTCAGTGGTTAGGTCTCTGTGCGTCTGACCAGGAGGTTGCTGGTTCGAGCCTCAGTAGAGTTGTCACATCTCCATTACACTGTTGGGGAAAGAGGGTACCACTTTGTACCTCTGCTTCTTACCGGGATTGTGCCCTCAAGGATCTTCCTCTTTGTACCCTAGCTGTAGGTAAATGTACACTTTGTAAAATTTTGGCTGATTCAAATATGTAAGCCGTAAAATGGTGCAGACTCCCTTTAAATGCACAAAGAGGTTGGCATACCAAAGAGGAACCCATATTTAGTGAGCTCTCCTGCATTAATAGCTGAGCGTCTGTGGGCAACGTTTTCGTGTTATCGGTAGGTTGCTGTGTCTTGTGTGTAGGAGTGCGGGTACCAGGCTTCCTGTTTTCATTGTCCTCCTCCTCGCTGCTCCTGCTCAGGCTGTGCGCATCTGCCTGCTCTGAGCGTAGCAACTTCTTCAGAGTCATGCATGCTTATTTTCTGTTTTGGCTCAACGTCATGTTTAATAAAATGTCCTTTGCGTTGTTTGGATACAAAGCTAAGAGCGTATTCAGCTTGGGCAGTGGCTTCTTTGCCTCGAAAAAATTAAGTTCATAATAAATACGTAAACTAGATTCCTAACTGCACTGAACACACCACGCTGTATCGAATCAGCCTCTGCGTTTCCATAGCAGAACTCGCCGTTCACCCTGCTGGGTGAGGATGAAGATTGACTCAGCTATACAGTAAATGATCTTCCACTGTGGCAGCGTGAGGAGAATTAATCGGGCCAGGTGGGTTCTGATCCAGGGGGTGGTGGGTGGGAGCCAAGCCCCCCGGCAGATGGCATCGAGGCATGGGGGCGGAGGGGAACCTGTATTCGGGCCCAGCCCTCTAGCCAAACCTGGCTACTTAGTGGGCACCGCCAACTGGCAGGATCATGTGGTCCGGCGGGTGAGTGCCTGGCTCTGTCTGGAGTCTGTCGCACAGGTGCAGCATGACATCACGCCCCTCGGCCAAAGGACTTCCAGGTTTTCAAACGCGCTTAATAATAGGACATAATAGCTTTGGTGAAGCATGGGTGCTGTCTCAGTCTGCAAGTGGCTTCGAAGGAGGGCTTCATATGCTCACAAAAGGCTAAAAATGTGAAATAAAAATATTTCCACTATCAAGGATAGGTAACATATCAAGAAAAACAAAAATCATAAACATATATTGCTCACATGAGCGAAATCATACGGGAGGATAATAGAGCCAGTTTGTATTAATGAAAAAACATTTCATCTGTATACCTGTATCACTTCACATACATAGTCACTTGAAACCGTTTGTTCAAATGGGGAAACACTTTTTAAAGCTACTTAGCTGGAAAATTTTCTGCCATTTCTCTTGAGTGGTTTTGAATTTCTCATGCCAAAGATTAGTAATACTCGCAGGTCAGAGCTCTAGGCCGCTGTGATACTAAACTGCGCAGGGCGTTGTAGCGACTCATGCTAACAGGCACAGTAGCTGCCTTCCCCCAGCTCATCAATGTAAACCATTTTCCAGGGAATGTTTATCTGCTCTTATATATCCTGTTCTTAATTCTCTTTTAAAACAGTCCAAATTAATTTTGTCTGTCTCTCAAATCATTCAGAGGTGATGAAAGGAAAGCAGTGGATTGGCCCACAACCTCATTTGTGAATGTGGGGGCGGGGCTTCCTAGGATCGTCCATTTAGCCATTAACTTTTTGATTAAATGTGAATGAAGGTTCTTTGATGTGACACTTTTCATCATGACGATCCCTTTCAAGCTGCTTACTCACGACTTACAGCCCAATTAACATATTTCCTGATCAGAATGGCCTTGTTTCTAAAAGTTAATAGCTTCATTACATGAGGACAAAAACTATTGATCAGGATATGTGAAAGCAGCTGATAA